ATAATTATATATTATAATATTACAATAATAATACATATTATGTAGAGTAGGATTTCATGCTCATAAGCAGCATGGGCGTCGCCAAGGGAAGCACGGGGTATAGTTGCTCTCGTAGAGACTCAAAAAAATTTAATCAAAAGCCAGGTCACTTATTGTCCGATTTTTATTTCCTAGCAGTCAAGGTTTAAAATTAATTAAAGTTTTTCTAAAAATAAACAAAAACATATTTTGACAATTTGTTTGTGTACTGATCGATTTTAAATTAGTTTTTAAAAAATACTTAATTTAATTTAAGGAGTTTAAACTGATTCAGTTTTTTATTAATTAAAAAAAAATTGACCAGTATTTTTTTTTATTTGATATTGATTAGCTTGTAGAACGTTAAACTGCATTCTTTTATCCTTTAATTAATGGTTTTTGTTTGCCCAATTTCCTTTTTAAAAGGTTTTTAACTGATTCAGCGAACACGCGGTACACATCTTATTGGTATATTTTTTTAAAGAATTTGGAGGGTACATTTTATAAGTAACCCCCTCTCCCCCTTATCATTTGGGTGGGCATTATCACCCCCCCCCCCGCTTCTACGCCCCACAGTGTACGATTCAGACCTGATGCGCGTCAAAATCGTAGCGCTTCGAATAGAAACCACATTTTGATATGATTCAAAATGGATTTGAAAGGTAATGTAATTACCTTTCAAGGAATATTATTACCATTGAATCAAAATGGCCGTTTGACCTTTAAAAAAGAGGTAAAATTTGAAAAAAAAAATCTTTTTTAACTAGTATCAAAAAAACATTTTTATTCAGGTGTTCTTATACATAATTTTTGGAACAAGGAATCAAGAAACAAAATCCCATTCATAAATTTTTTTTTTAATATATTTGAAGCCCTCAATTTTTGGATCAAATTTAAGTAGGTTCAATTTTTGACATATTTATGACATTCTTGCAGCTCTGTATACTCTCCTCATACTTAGACACCTCAAATAATACAAGTAGGTTGCTATTCAAGACCTATAATTTGAACCCTAGTAGAAGTCTCTAGGTATTCCAAAAGCAAAATTATAACGGTTTTAAGCCAAACATAGAAATTGCGTTCACGGAATTGTTACCCTGGAATTTAATTTTTTAACATTCGGCAGTGTTAATAGGGTTCATAATAGGGAACCGCAAGCAAGGCCAGTAAATTAAGAACGCGAATTACGGCCAGCAAGATCACCGGACTTGGCTCCGTGCGATTTTTTTATGTGGGGATATGCCAAATCCAAAATGTACGGATTCCAGCATATCAGGGCAAATAACCTTGATGAATTAAGAGAATTAATAATTAATACATTAAGGAACATCAGACCTGAGATGCTGTCAAATGTACGACAAAATTTTTATAATAGGTTAACCTATTGTACAGCATTGTTTGGGGGCCCATTTGAACATTTACTTTGATTTATTTATTTTTTTATTTAAATATTTTAGAACACCATTTTTGTTTGAACATTTACTTTATTTATTTTTTTATTTAAATATTTTAGAATACCATTTTTGTTTAAACATTTACTTTAATTTATTTATTTAAACATTTTAGAATACCATTTTTGTTTAAGAATATTTGTTTTTTATTACAAGAATACTATGGTTTATTTTCCACATTTTCGAAAAAAATTCAATAAGTATTCGTTTTTGTAAACAAAATCATAATTAAATTTTAAAGAAAATTTAAAATTCCTCCGTCCGCACTCCAACGTGGACCGAATAATACTGAAATTGTTTCGAGACTCGATTGCGAAATTTGCGCCAAGGTTATCTAGTAGTGGGATTGTAAAGCAGTTAGAGGAGGGGAAGTAAAACATTGGCGGACGTTTAATTGTTTTGATTTAATCGTTTTAAAATCTTGTACTGCACGCTTATGGCAGAGGGGAAATAAGTATTTTGTTATCCTATTCGTTCAACAATGGTTGTTTGTCTCTCTTATTTATACGTTTATCTCACTTATTCGTACGTTTAATATAGCAAGCATCTTTGTTTATTAAACGGCCTAAAAGCCCATTACCATCCCTGTATACTAAATAATATGCTTAAGTTAAAAAGGAACAATATTTTCAAAAAAGGAAAAAAGGCGCTATTTTTACATTATACACTATTTTGTTTTAATAAATTCCTGTATATCGGACAAATTTGACTGTACAGTTTTACTCTTGTTAACTCTACTATCTATAAGCATTAAAGATATTTTTGGGTCTGTCATGTACACTGCTCGATTAAATACATCCAGTAAGCGGTGTTCTCTGCTGTTCTGCCGAGAGTGCTCAACCATATTGCGTTTGTAATATTTATGCCAGCACCTTCAGCATAATATGCAATAGGAAGTGGAAGTTGTCGAGCAATATCGCATCCATGCTTCAAAAGTTTGTGGACTGTGGGACTCATTCGAGCCCATGGATAAAGCTCGTAATATCGGCAATACGTTTGCAAACAAAATCTCTCCAGCTTATTTAATTCAAGTTCCTCTTTACATTTAAAGCATAATATTATTTTGCTCAAATCAATCACTAATTGAACATCAATTTCTAATGCATTGGCAAATAACTCAGGAGATTGGACACTTTTCCTGTGTTCGTTGTGCCATGACCTTGAAGAACTTGATCCACTCGTACTTTTAGTTTTTCATATATTCTTTTTTGAAGAATTCTTTGGCGCTCCTCAAAATCGACTTCAAAACAAAAATAATTATTTTTTTAATTTAGCACATTTCATATATAAAATATTTTGAAAATAAAAAACAATATTTGAGACTTTAAAAGAAAAAAATATTTATAATCTTTAAGCACTCTCTTAAAGGAGTACAGAATTATTTTTAGAACATTATTTGTAAATTTATTCCCTATCTTTTTTTAATCGAAGAAAAGAATTGGCCATACAAATATTGAAATTCTTACCTTTTGCAGGTTGTCGCACATCCCATGACTTAAGGTCCTGACGATATCCAAGACAAAGAAAATGCTCAAATACTTTTATCTCGCAATGTAGTAGCCCTAATCCATATTTAAGGTTTGCTTCTGAAGCAGTAAAATTATCTGCGAGGTTTGAAAATTGATGTGCAGTGCGTAAACATATAGGACATCTACTTGAAGCTTTATTTTTGACGATTGTATTGAGGCATTTCCCATCAAGCAAGGTTTCATAAATATTATATTGTACCCTCACAGATTTTCCATTTGACATTTTGAATCGATATGGAAGAAGCTGTTCGATTTCTTTTTTCAATCTAAAATGTTCTTTTAGTGTTGCTTCCTCGTCCTCTTTCTCCAAAGCTATTCGTAAAGGCCGACAAAATCGAATGCTCTGCGGAGTTAGGTTTAACCACGAAACTTTATCAAAATCGACATTTCTTAATTGAATTAAAATAAGGCTACTAACAAAAAGTGACTGTTGTGGATTAGAAGATTCGTTTTCAGAATTTTTGCATTTCTGGTGCGGATTTACATGTCCTGATGAACTATCAAAACCTAGGGTAATAATTCGTTTTAATTTATACAATGCTTCTTCGCTCCAGTTTAAAGCAACGCTTTCACAAAGTCGTTCAGCAGATTTATTTAATATTTCTTGAAGAGGCACCATAACTTCGATCTCACTTACTTTAATATTTTTTGGCATACATTCATCCATTGCCTGATGGACAATGTCATAGCATGGGTAAATAGGACAATTTCTTGAAATAGTATCACTAACTAGTGCTTTATAGCTCGCTACTGAAAAATCATTTTCCAAGAAAAATGCTAAGGCTGATTCCTTTGAGTGCCTTAAGATAGTATTTGTATATTGCTCAGAATATTCTCCCACATCTGTAACATCCTTAGCCTCGACTTTTATTATTTTCGCGGCATCTTGAATTTCTTTTAAGTTTTCCCTTAATTTTTTAGTTCGTCTTTGCAATGTTCTAATTGCAATGCGGATTTCCAATATCGGTTATATAATGTCAAACATCTTCGGACCAATGTTGGGTTTCAATATTGCTAGAAAAAATCTGACGAAAGATATTGGCTCAATATTCGTAATAATATTGGGCCAATATCTTTGTGCTACTATGGCGATAAAATTTTTTGTAGCAATATCAAGATTTTTTTTAATTCATATAATAAACAGCATTGCAGTTTTTGTAATTGAAGCAAATGTAGTAATCCAGTAATATTTTCTATTAATTGTGCATCATAATTTTTTCCATTTTTTGTTGTTGTTTATGTGTTGGAGCATTCGGCGCGCTTAATATTTTTAACGTCTTTACGGCCATTTAATACCACTCGTAAACCCTTATTGTTCTTATTCCGTTCTTATAGCTAAACTCATGTAACCTTTTCTGCAGCTGACAACAGCCTAAACATCTCATCTCCACATTTACAGATCATTTGCAAAAAATACGTGAATTGGGCAAGTCAACCCAAGAAAAACGTAACCGTATTATTTTGTATATTATACATAGTTACTACATACACATAATATTATTAAAGTATGGTGGTATATGTCTTCTGAAAATCCGCTTAACCTTATATTAAATGTGTATATTTATGATTTTGACCGACTTTTGATGTTAATATGTAGAATAAAATGTCATAATATTATATTTTTTATTAAGAACAATCTGGTGTAAGTAATCTACATAATAAAATTAAAAAACTGTATTATAATTTGAACTTGTATAATATACAATTGTAATAAAGTGGACATGTCTGGGTATAAATATACCCTTTTCAGTTATTCTAATTTTAATTTATTTTTTTAACTATGATTCAATTTTAAACCCAATTTTACATTTAATGTAAGCCATTCATAAAATAACCTCGCAAATTCCAGTTAAAATCTCCCACTTTAATTAGAGTTGGAAAAGTTTAACTTGGTTAATTTGTTTGACTTATTTTTATCGAGTTGATAAATTTAATTTTAATATTTGTCGTTAAAATTATGTTAAATTAAAATTTAATTTATAAATTTATTTATTTATTTTAGAAATAAAAGATGCCCATAAAAAACATCAAATGTGTTCCCTCATCGGAGTGGAAGGTGGACATTCTCTAGCAGGAAGTTTAGCGGTACTAAGGACCCTATATCACGTCGGAGTAAGATATTTGACACTTACGTCCACCTGTAATACACCTTGGTAAGAAATAATGTGTGTCCTTTTCAAGCATGTAGTGTGTATATAAAAACCCATTGTATCATACAATTTGTTTGACTAAAAATCTTTAATTAGGATTACCGTCATTATTCCTTATTTTAAATACATAAAATATTATTATGTGTGTTGAAGGGAGTGTTAAAGATATCAGTGAGTTAAGCCTGATTTATAGATTGCCTTCCTTCCTTCCTTCCTTTCTTCCTTCCTTCCTTCCTTCCTTCCTCCCGTCGAAGATAAACAATACAATCCCGTACGGGATTCTATAAAAGGCACTACGGTTTTCGTATTGTTCATCTTTTACGGGAGGAAGAGAGGAAAGAAGGAAGACACTCTATAAATCAGGCTGAACTCACTGATATCTTAAACACTCCCTTCAAAACACATAATATAATATTTTATGTATTTAAAATAAGGAATAATGACGGTAATCCTAATTAAAGATTCTTGGGGATAAGAAAATATTAATATTTAAAAAAACATTGCGTTAAAACCATGGGAACACCCATACAAAACTAGAAATATAGATAAAAAATTAACACCCATATGATAAAAAGATTCGGCCAGCATAATTTTTGGTTTCTTATGTCAAAATGTATTAATTTTATCCCTAAAAATATATTAAACAATAAAAATACAACAAAATTTCGAAGAAAAATTAAATAATTTACGTTATATACTTCAAGAAATAAAATAATAGTTATTTATGTCATAAGGCTGAGAAGTAAGTATTTTTGTGCTGAGCTCATAGTTTGAATGCCGACGCGGTCTACAATTAAGCGAATCACAAAAAGACACTTCTCAACCGCATGGCTTACAACATTTTATCTTTAAGGCATAATTTTATGTATTTTAAAAACAATATAATACATAAAACAATATAATACATAAAACGTACAATTAAAATAGGTAAAAGTAGAAAGTGAGGTTACATAACTATAGATCTGACAGTGGTTTTTTTGGTTGGTCCAAACGGGTTTTTTATAGACTATAAACGCAATACAATATTTGTATATAAATGTTACAGTATTAAATATTATTTTTTAGATATATTTTTTTATTATTATTATTATTATTAATATTACTATTACTTTTATGATTATTATTATTATTATTTATACAAAAATGTCTGGAACTTTTTTGGAGACATATGTTTCTTAAGTATTGGTGTATCAAAGCACCACAGGTTAATAAAAGAAGAGATTGTACTTACAGTTATATTCCTTTATTTTGTTATCTATATAGTATGTGTAATTATTATGACATTTATAAATTTAATTTAAAATTTATCTAAATAAATATTTTTAATTTCCTATTTCCTCCATATCCATGAATATCTTTCTTCTTATATTTTCTTAATTTATTATCTTTCTTCTTATTTCATTCTTCTTGCATTTCTTCGTATATTTTTTCTTGTATTTCTTCTCGTATATTTTTCTTTTATATTATTTGTATGTTGTTTATGTATGTTTTATATTGGTTATTTCATTTATTATTTTATAATTATGATTATTGTTATGTTATTTTTGTTATAGTTATCATGGATAACTATTTTTTAATATACAAGTATCAAAGATATTATCGATAGTCTTAAGTTGAGACTCTCAACTAACAATGACACAAAATAAAGGTTATGTAACCAAAGTCACACCCACAACTTAAACCAACCCATGGCGCAATATTTGGCGCCAACAAGTATGGTTGCATAGTATGCAATGCATACGCGTTTTGGACAATACGAATACGGATACTTATCCGATAGGAACGCCGAATTTGATATCTTAATTAAATACCTTAAAAATTTTAAAATAATTTTTATTTTTATTTCGACATAAAAGTAAAGTAAAGTACACATCATCCGATTATGCATGTAACAAAATACCCTCCCTCTTTTAATGAAATTTTTTATAACATCCTTGCATATGTGCTGCTGAATTTTGCCAATAACGCATCAAATATCGTCTTTAAGTTGATAAATTGTTGCTGGTTTGTTCTGCAATTTTTTTTATTGACATAGCCACTGAGATGATAGTGCGCTTCATCGCTAAACAATATTTTCTTTGCAAATTGAACATCTTGTTGCTTTGCCAGAATCCAATTAAAAAATTTCCGGCTCATTGCGTGAACTACTGGGATTAGCTCCTGTGTTAATTGAATTTTGTATGGATGCAAATAAAGATCTTTTGTTAAAATTTGCTGTAAACTATCGAATCGAGGTTCCAGAATTTTCGGTAACACTTTTCCGTACTGCTAAAATATTTTCAGCAGGTGAGCTAATACGACGAGGCACAGGCATCTGTTGGCTGGTGGATGTACTACCTCTTACCGGTTACAGAAAGCTGCAGCGAAGTAAATATTGCTTCGTTACAAATGACCAATCCAGTTAAGTTTGTTGTTTGGAATTCTTCCCAAGAATTTTAGTTGGTTTGAAAGTTCCAGACGGGTTCTGCAACCAAAGGTAGTGAAACCATTGTTATTGAGGGATTCTAACAAACTGTCAACCACCAGGACCCATATTCGTGTTTTAGACAACCGAGTTGAATAAAATTCATAAAATTTCATTAATTGTGATCTTTGTCTTTTTGTTCTCTCTTTTTTATATATCCATTCGTTTGTATATTAAATGAATGTTCAACAGCTTACCGAGCTTGTTTTTCATCTAAGCTAGTCATTTGGACCACCAAGCTGTTTTTGTTTTTGTAGAAGTTATATCCTGTCATGCTCAATAATTTTCTGTCTTTAAGGTCAGTCGGTATATGCAGAGATTCCAGACCTCCGGTCAAAGTGCTTTTGTATAGCTCAACGTCTGTCCACGTAGGATCTCTGTACCTTTGGTTTTCCGATTGAAGAATTTTGACATATCACTAGATACCGACCAATTCAGTAGCCTGTTGGAAATATTAAAGGAGGCAAGCCGAAGATCTATAATAAATTTACCCCTGCTGGACACAAATGTAGGTTCATTACCTCAGTACAATATTATCAGGTTTCTAATCGCAAGGTACTCATGAAGGAACTTACCCCTGTTGATGTCGGCACTACCCCTTGCTGAATGACGAGCATTTGTGTCGCATTCAATGCCTGGCTGGCAATTATTATTTTTGCGACTATTGTAATATAATACACTGTACAAATATTTTTGCTTATTTGCATCTTTTTCTTATTTTTAAATTAAATTAATTAACACGGTAACTCTTTCTTATGGCTCGTAAGAGTTTGTCCTTTTGATATTTGAAGTGGCTAATTTCTTTAAGACTCTTGTAAATCTAATTAGAGACAAGAAAATTAATTAGTAGTGCAGGAGGCGGTCCATTTGATCTTGGCCGGCGCGTGTGTGTACACGAAAGAAAAGAACTGAAGTGCAGAACCGGATTTAAGGGAAGATGAAGTCAACTTAATCAATTAATTCATGGTTAAACCCTAACTTTGATTCTGTGTTTTTTGCAATACAATTTGCAATTTATTTCTCCAAAGTTAAAATTGACATGTTCACTCTAAATACATAACATACCGTTTCATTTTATTTTTATTGACTTTATTCCTAAGCAAATAAAAGCAGAAAGATTAGTTTAAAGATTCTAAGCGTTTTTTTATTTAGATCGCCAGAAAAAAATTTGGAATATGACGTATTTAATTTAAAGCAGGTAAACTTTACTATGGTTAACAAAACAGTATTTGTAAATTCGTAATTTGTTTTTAGGATTTTAATTGTCCTACTCAACAAGCAATTCAAAATATAGTGATAAAATTTAAGTAAACTAAGTCTGTTAAGGCAAATAATATTTAGTAAGACCAAGAACTGCACGTTATGCTATACAGGAAAATATTACAAATGGACATCAAACGACTATTTTAGAATTTTGTATAAATTTTACCCTTATTAAAAAGTATAATTGAAAGAAATACAACATAATTTTTTTTGTCAAAATTCGTTCAAGAGAGATACAATCAGTCCAAAGCTTTTCACATATCAGAGTGCGTAACTTGTAAAATGTGTACTAAATGTTTAGACCATTACTTCCTTATTGTAGTAGCATCTTAAGTTATGCGAAATTAATTTCATGTCCTGGTTATTGAAAAATGGCCAGTTTTTGATAAACCGGTTAATTTTTAATTTAAAAATTGTGTTATTTACAATAAATATTATTTTTTATTAAACATAATTAATTAAAGTAAACTAAAAATATGCAACGACCGATCAGAATCACAACAACAAAACAATATTTTATTTATAAAATAACCGACCTTAGGTTATAGGTCAAAGCCATGTATAGGGTTTAACCGGATTTTTTTAAACTAACTGGTTTAAACTGTTTATTTTTCCCAAGATTATAAAAGTTATCAAGCCAAAAAATACCTAAATAGGTTTTGATTAAAAATCATAAAGTAGTACCGCTCTTAATCTCGGAATGTCTGTGGTGACTCATCGGCATGTTTACGGCGCACAGTGTTTCAATTCTCGAAAATATCGGCAAAACCTCAAAAATTGACATTTTTTATCAGGAAAATGTTGAGTTAGATGGGTAGTTAATACCTGTCTCCATCCTGAATTGAAAAAAAATTATATAAAATCCGTATATTTTGTCTTTAAACTTGACGCTTTCAGTTGAAGGTACTTTACACGCGATCGCTGCGGAAAATTGTTTATTGTTTAAAAGTGAATAACTTGTGTTTGGTTTGTCCGATTGTTATGCGGTTTGATAAAGGGTGATCTTCAATGTATGTAAAATTCAGATATATATTTGTTTTTCGTAGATTTTGCTTGTACAACTGGTTATTGTAACCGACAAGATCGGTCTGTTAAAATCGCAAACTTTGAATCGAGCTTTTAGAACAATGGATCTACAAAAATTGTAATGAATTGTAATGCATCAGTTCAAGATCCGTTGAATAGCTTAGAGTTTTGTCTATCAAGCCATCAATAAATTATCTGCCCCAACTCGCCCCCGGCTCTTTAAAACTACATGTTATTGGGCGCTCAGGCA